AAAGGGAGAAATAATAACAATAATAAAAAACAGAACCATTCGTGGAACACACCGTGTCCCAGTTAAGTCAAGTGCTTATAGAATTTTGAAGTGGAATATATTTTTACCAGCGCCTGAAAAAAATATCGGCGATGATTTCCCGTAGCCTCTGATATGTATATTTTACATATTTGAAATTTGTGGCAAACAACAGTGGCAAAACGATCATAATTTCTACATATTGTTGTATTGCAAAAATGTATGGAAATCGCCCCATAAAACTGTCCATTGAATCACTTTGGACTTCCCGTACGAACGTAATACGTAACCAGTAAAGCAAATGAAGCTAAAGAAAAACGCATCTCAGATCAGATAAACCGAATTTAATTTAATTTTTCGTAATAACCCCTTTCTAATCACTAAATCTTTCTACTATTTCTATTTTATATATTTACTAGTCCTACGTGGTATACATAAGCATTAGAGTCAATTTCGTATGAGTGGGAAACGTACGGTAGAAATCACCGCACGGTTACCGTATAGTTACCGGACCGTACCTGGCATGCACAATTTTGGTGAACCAATGGGGCACTAGAATTTGGTTACAGTACGATTACGTTCACAGTACAGTACCGTCCGGTTCCCACTCATACGAAATCCGCTCTAACATAAACATTAACGTAAGCATTAACATAAACTTGTAGTTGCGTGTTAGCGAATTATCGTTTCAGTGAAAATTAAAGGGACACTGTCAATGGATGACATACGCAGTAATAGTCTCACCTCTAACGGACTTTGAAAGTATTACCTTCGAGGTAAATCATTTTGTGGTACTTTGACACACTTTGGAATATTCTAGAGCTGTTTACGTTTACGAGCTGATTTTTGTCGTGCCAACTTGAAGTCATAAACTTGAAAACTTTAGCCTAATGTTTTCAAGTTTACTTGAGAAAAACTCCGATAAATTAAATTCAGGAATGCTTTTTAAAACATTAAAAAAATCTCTTTTATATCCCAAACAGTACAGCGCTCGCGTAATGCTTTGACGTCACGGATCGAATATGACATCACAATAAGATTTGACGTCAGTGATTCAGTTTAACAATTACAGATTAACTGGTGCAAGCACTATCATGGCTTGTCTTATTGTGACGGACCTCTTCCCATGNAGATAAAATTCTCTTTCTATAACGATAAATATTTGATTGACATTTAAAAGCTATTTTATAAAGATTTTCAATTTCTCTTTGCGTTTTAGCTTCGATTTTTCGGATAGAATAAAATGACAGGCAGCCTACTCCACTGGGTCGAGTTTTGCTGTGCAAATTCCTCCCGTCGGAGGGTTATGTTTACAACATAAGCTTGTCAGCTTTGCGCTGATTGGCTAGTCGCATTTTCTCAAATCACCCAGTGAGTGTTATAACTAACTGAACCGGTTAGTTATAAAACTCATGTTTAATGAATCAGTGTTTATAACTTGAGTTATAGATCCTGTCATGTGACCCATAGTTGAATGCTCATTGGAAGAATGTCTAATGAATAATTCATGAGTTTTAGAACGAATCCGAAAAAGTAAAAAAAGTATTTTTGTGACGTCACACGTATTATCATTCATCCTCATTCATCGAAATTTGGCGATAGATGGATAGGGTGTGTCAGCTAGCTGGTCATCACTGATTGACAGATCGCTGAACAGTTCGATCCAGGGAATGTTTTTCTTTATTTTTTTTTTTTTTTGGTACATTACCTGGACCTTCGTCACCGAAACATTCATGGGCAATTTTCTTTTGAAATCTCGACAGAACGCCTCGAAAATGACAGTGCGTCATCCTAAACATAAACAATTAAAACACACTAATTCAGAATAAGCAAATTCTATAAGGAAAATGAAGTCAATATTATAGACTCACATGTTTTTAATTTTTTAAACGCGCGCGCCGTCGGGATAAAAGTCAGGAATGCATTATGGGTCAAGTCCAGTCCAAAACGGTCAAACAGGACACAGTATGCCTAGAGGAAAGCAAAACTTCTTCACATTAATTATCAAAACTCAGAAAAGCTCCGATAAATTAAATCTAGGAATGCTTTTTAAAACATTAAAAAAATCTCTTTTATATCCCAAACAGTACAGCGCTCGCGTAATGCTTTGACGTCACGGATCGAATATGACATCACAATAAGATTTGACGTCAGTGATTCAGTTTAACAATTACAGATTAACTGGTGCAAGCACTATCATGGCTTGTCTTATTGTGACGGACCTCTTCCCATGGATCATTCTAGTTTAGCCAAGATGG